AAATTGCTTGAAGAATCCATCCAAGTAAACATTAACAAAAAATGTAAAGTGCTATTACAATTAAGTGTTAATAAAATAAAGTACAGCTCTGCAGTGTCCATCAATGGAACACTTTTAGTACAACCTGAAAAAAGGAATTTACTCATCTAAATAAAAGTGCTTATGAGACTCAACCAAAATGTCAAACATTCTCATATCAGAGATTTTACATGTGTAGTGTTTTCTCAGTGTTTATTTTTCAATTTCCAGATTTTTGTGCAGGAATACAAGCTGATCGACATGGTCAGCTCTCAGGACACTTCTCTGTGCATTTACTATGTCTCCTGCAGAGGAGAAAACTCTCTCTGCAGAGACACTTGTTCCAGGAATGCATAGGAAACTCCTTGCTACTTTGGATAGCTGAGGGTATTCCTGTTCATGGTCCTTCCACCAACTGAGAGGATTTCCTGTGAGAGGCAAAGGGGTCTCATCTCTATACCTCTTGATCTCAGCTGCAGCAACATCATGGTCTGATTTTGGTGCAGTATTGTCACTAGTAGAGGCAAACGTAGCTCCGAGCAAGTCCACCAATGCACATGAGGTCCTCTGTCTTTTTAGGGGTGGCCGAGGGATGGAGTCAAAGCTGTCTTTGATATGTGGGTGGCATCCTCCACAGCCTCCTCTGTGGCATTCTCTTCCTCCACCTGTTTGTCAGTCTCCTCATTCTTTTGCTGCTGAAAAACATTAAATTCAAATAGTATTAATGTCAGAAAGTCCAAATTCAAATCCAAGATTCACCCTGTTTTTCACTAATATTTGATGACAAATGTCATCAATATGCATTTTTTTTTTTTGCTTTTTACTTTATTCACTTGCTTATAACTTCAGTTGAATTTTTCCAAATAAATTCATTTATTTACTTACATTTTCTTCCTTCTTTATCACAGTCACCACCGTGTCCAACAGTCTGGAATAGGTCTCTGCTTCAGACAGGAAGGGCAGGTCCTTAAACCGAGGATTAACAGTTGATGCCATCCATAGTGTCTCCCTCTCATTTACATATCTCTTTCCCAGATCTTCTGCTATGGCAGTCTTAATGTTAACCTATTAACCTATTATAAGATTGTGTTGTACATTGTTATATATAGTGTATTTTAGTTTTAGTTAAAAAAAACAAACATCAAGACATCACAAGCAAAAAGAAAACAAACCATGGCACATGTTTAAACAAGGAAGGTTTATTTGTCTGAATTATTTATTATTAAAATAGACATAAGATAATTTTTTCACCCCCCAAAAAACATATTCAAAGCACCATAGCTCTGTAGAGTGGGCAGTCATAATGAAGCAGTTCATTATACGTTTTAGATTCAAGCTGCTCTCCATATTTCTGGCCACCAGATGTCCCTAAAGAGGACTGTGTTAAAAAGCTTTGAGTGATGAACTGTTTTTCAATACAAACTTCCTTAAACCTCAAATTCTGTTTTGCAATACAGAGCTAAGGTGGTTCTCTGGTCCATGTATCAGTGTAAATAAATGGATCGTCAATTATAAGGGTAAAGGCGAAGTGAGGGAACTGAGGAGCCGGCTGTTTGCGATTAACTTCAAAGGCAGCTGCTATCACTAAGCAATCAGCTCCTGCTGCACTGAGGATCATATAAAAGCAGCTTCTGTATGTTGCAACAACTAAGGAGAAGTTCTTGGCACAAGTTAAGGGTTGGTAGAAGCTATGAGTTTGTGGCTTATTTTGGGCTGGGCTTATTGATATATTATGGTTGACCAGGTTTTCTCCATTTGTGTTAGTACAGGCTCTCAGGGGCAGGTCAGAACTCAAACTGCAGCAGAATGAGGTGAGTAATTATGTTTAAGTCTAAAGCTAAATTTTAAAGGGCCTGTCTGATGTATCAAGATAAATGGGTACTAAAGCAGTGAGGGTAAATGGCTAAATATTGGCTTAAACCTTATGATCTGAAATGACTGTTTCTAGGGTTTTGTGGATTTCATGTCTGCTGATTGGAAGCATCATCTGTGTTCCTGTAGAATATGGTATGATAACACTAACAAAATTGAGAAAGCTGAACAAAGTTAAGTGGCCTTGAATACATTCTGGCTCTTGCCTTGTTTCTCCTCAGATTATGCATTTGATATGGAATATGACGATATGGGCACATACCCCATGCAGGAGGGAGCATTTTTTTATGACCATTCCCAAGACAGTGCAAATTATGAGGCAAACGAAGGCTATGCCCACATCGCCACAGACTCCAGTGCTGGTCCTCGTAGTTACGGGAGTAACACGATGGTTGGGGATGACTGGTTCACTAGTGGCTATACAGGGGGGGACAGTGTTTACACTGATACCAGCGGTGAGGAAAACAAGCCTGTTTTTAGTGACGTGTCTGGTCTGGAACCAGTCTACACTACTGGCTCTCGTTCACGCTACCAAAGAGGAAGAGCAGTGTTTGCCCAAACCCGCTACATCCCCACAGAGTCTGTTGGCTTACCTATGCCACTACTCCCATACACCAGCTACACACTTTCTTGACATGCAATCTTCAAACTCCAGCCAAAGCTGCCTATTAACTCTTGGTGAGTTCAGTTACTCTTGGCTTTTCATTTGAGTGGTGTGAATGATAACTGGTTGATTAACTTGTCTGCTCTTCTCTATTCTCAGGTCTGTCAATGACTCTTTGCCCAGTTGCCAAAATACTTAATAAATTGCTTTAAACTTAAACAATGCCACTTATTTCCTCCTAAGCTGGTGTTTAACAATTTAAGGGTTAATTGCATATAGATGCATGTATGACCGTTCTGAAAGTCAGGTATTGATATCCAAGCAGAAGGCTTTTTACAATTGTCAGAGATTTACAGTTAACAAACAGTCAGGTGAATAAACAACAATGAGACACTTGTGTAGGTTAACGTGCTGCACGGGTGAAAAGCTCAGAGCAAATCACACCGAACTGCAGTATTCGTTTATTTTTATAGGTTACATCGTCAATATGCAAATATAATCACATTTCCTGTCGCGTGTGTGTGGTCAATTTCTAAGAATAATATAATGCAAGTCAACTTCTGCGGATATGTATTTCTGTGCTGGTCTCTTGTCAGTGTCACAGGGTCAGCTTCCTGTTTTAACAGAAAAGTGTCTGGCGAAATATGTATAACATAACTTTTGAAGCATAAGCAAATAAAACAATAAAAACTCCCTAACAACAATAAAGACTTATAATCATACTTTTTTCTTTTTTTCTTTTTGAAGCAAAAGTGTGCACAAAAGAATTTACTTTTAATAACGGGGCAAGGAATAATTAACAAATGATAATTTAAGAACATGATGTTGATTTAAAAAATATTTACTAAAAGCCAGACTCCAATTGGGATTAATCGATAATATCTCTGATGCAAGATCTGTTAAATTATGCAGAATGGATAGAAGCTGATTGGGGGGACTGAGTGTCTACATGTTCTGTCTCTGGGACACTGTCCCCCTCCTGCCTAATTGGTATGCTGACTGGCAGGTGTAAGCTCTTCCTCATTTCAAGCCAAGTCTTCTCTCTCACACTTGCTTGCTCTTCTCAGTCTCTTCCCTTCTGCTTTTCCTCTATCTTAATAACTTATACAAGTACTGCACATGGTACTGTTAACTTTAGATGTTCAAAATCTTGAAATAACAATCTTCATTATTTTGTTAATAGATTTTTGTAGCCATGTTATTTTAATTAGTGTGGCTTTTTTGGGGGGGGGGTTTGGCTTTTGGTGAACAGCCAAAATTGTTTTTAGCTAGTGGGTCTTAGTAACTGTTCAGACTAACCCTCATATATTCTACTGTAAAAAGACATATATATGTCAACATGTAATTGCATTTGTTATGTAAATAAGATAAATTAATGCATTTATAGATTAATAATTTCCCAAAATTGACTGTCTCCATTTAAAGCAGCGGTAAGCACTGCTGGAACTGTTTTAAGTCCCGTGCATCACGTGACACCCCGAAGTCTGAACCCACTGTTGGGAACGACCCTCCGGCACTTGCCAGTAGTGATGGGATTTCCGGATCTTTTTAGAGAACCGGCTCTTTCGGCTTGACTCACTAAAGAGTCAGCTCTTTCGGCTCCCAACCGGCTCTTCAGGTTGTTTTGTTGCTTTAACTATCAACAACAATATACAATTATGCACAAAAGGAATTAGTAATGTAAAGAGACGTGTGTGTGTGTGTTCCCTAGAGACGAAATGCGTCCAAAACTACAAAGCACTTAGATTATCTATCTCAACACGGCCCCTAGCATACTGGAGCACTTCCGTTGTGTTTTGGAGTTTGTACGTGCTTTGTCTCTAGGGGCCACTGTAAATATACTTTTATTTATTCACTCCACAAAATGTAATAAATAAAATACAAAAACCAACTATTTACATTTCAACTTTTAACTACTTAAATTTTCAGCTTTTTCCTTTTAAACAAATATAAAGTGAAGCAACACAAAACACTGCAAACCACAACACAAAATATGGAAGAAAAAAAAAAGAACACCCAGATCTTAATTAAGGGGGACGTTGGCATTTAGAAATATTAATATCACACTCAACTGACTTCGTTTTATCTTCCCATTGCACTGATGGTTCTTAGGTGCCTGTGCATGTTGTTTGTGGAGCCGGCTCTATATGATATCCTTTTCTTGTAGACTCTACACTCTGCCTTTATTTTGTCAGTAAGATTGAAATGGTTCCAGACTTTGCTTCTTTTCTTGGTGTCACTCATTTTCTTTACTGTACCTGTGATGGTGTTGTCTCTTGTTGCTCCCGGCTCTCTTTCTTTCCCTCTCCCTCCTGCTGTGTGCTGATATGAGTGTAACTACGGCCCTGCCCCCTCAGCTCAGCGCTGGGGGGAGGGGGGAGGGGTGCAAATGCAAGGCTCTGTTTGCCATCTCTTCTCAGCGCAAACACAAGGGTGACTTGCAGCGTGAAGCGGAAAAAAAGTGAAAGAGGGCAGGAGAAAGGAAGAAAAACAAACAAAAAAAAACCCCGACTACCAATAAGGAGTCGGATCGCATCGTTCACTTCAAAGAATCGGATCTAAGAGCCATTTCGTTCGCGACCGACCCATCACTACTTGCCAGCCAATTCCATGAAAGGAGCGTGCTGACGTCTTATTTCGGCGCCCGTTGGAAATGTTTTTAATAGCCTTAGCCGTCTATATCCGACGATCAACTTATGCTGTCTTACTTTAAATCAAACGCTGAAGTCGTACCCAGACTTGGAATGTAAAATTTGTAATCTGTATGAAAGTCAAATGACTTCCGCGATTATATGTGCGATAAACATCCTCACCAGACCTCTTAAAGGTAAGTGGACTGTTTGACAGCGTTAATCTAAATAAACGCATGTATTCCGGAAGCACATCGGTTAAGTACATTGAATAATATAATGCAAATATTTTAGCTGTCTTAACTTTTGCCTTTGGTCTCACAGTCGGTAGAGAACGTCTTTGGTTTCTGGCTACAGCTGGTGATTTGTCAAAAAACAAAGCAAAAACGAAAAAAACCCCAAGTTGATTTATAATTTTTAATTTATTCTCCAATACCTGCTTATATAATTATGATTCTGGAAGCTAAACGTTTCAAAATATCGTACCCCTAAAAGTAAAAAAGGATGACAGATGTACTTGAGGACACTTTTAATGTGTATATTATGATGTTTAGAGAAAACAAGCCCAATTATTATATATTGTTGTAGGATCTACCTTACAATATAAAGCGACGTGAGATGACTGATGTTGTGATTTGGTACTGTATTAATAAAACGGAATTTAATTGAATTTAATATTTTTCTCTCATTAAAAAAGGTTTATAGTGTTGTATAGAAGTTTTGTGTAGTGTGATGTTCTGTGTGTCTGCAGAGGTATCTGCACATGAGGCTCAACCGTCACATCAGGAGGTCCTTCTGGCAGCTCTGCGGGCCAACCGGGCCCATCTCCTGGAGCAACTTCAAAGGGAGAGCAACTTTGAGGTTGTGAAGAGGCTAAGGGAGGAGGTTAAGGCAACAGCAGATTGGTTCTGTGCGGATACAGATGATGCCACATGGGCTTTTGTCCAGGAATGCCTCCTGCTGCTACTCACGTTATCACGTCACCTTTCTGATGAACTGGAGCGTTTCCAACAGGATCAATCTTGCTTGGCACCAAAAAGTCGTACCCCTGAGATGGCCCCACCTTTAGCCCCTGACATCCTCAGCATCACCCAGCAGAAGACAATCGGAGCTGCTCTGCAGTTTGTGGTTTGTCTGGGGCTCTGCCCATACTTGGCCCCTGGAGTGGGTGTCCCACTAGGACGGAGGTCAGCTTTTGGAGCCATGGTGGAAAAACTAGTCCATGTGGGCCCGGTGTCTGGAATGGCACGCCGCCTTCTTACCACCACTAAGGTCCTGTTGGAGCTGGCAGAGTTATCGTCTCTTGCCACACTCGTGTTCACCCGATATCTGGGAGACATTATTGCAGCAATATGCCAGCTGGGATACATGCCACACCACAAGGATGAAAAGGTAATTATTGTTCTCACTGTCAGGATTATTTTTGCACAAATTGAAATGTCAGGGAATAATGACGTAACTGACTTGATAGTGGGGTAGGCAGGGTGGGAGATAGGTTTTTAATTTTTGAGACCCAGCAGTCTCTCTGGAAGATACTGTTTTAATTTTCTTTCGTTCTTCTTGAATGTTTTTTTTTTTTTAATGCAGCTGCTCAGTGCTGAGGAATGTCAAACATGTAAGGAGACCCTCAAGACCCTCCTTGGAAAAGTGTACCAGCCGATTGTCATCAAAGAGCTCCTTATTCTCCAAGGAGGAGCCAAACAGGTGATAATGACGGCATGGTTTTTATTTGACAAATATACATTTGTGCTGCTGGATGGTGATTTGTTTGCTGGAAATCACCCCAAAGTTTAGACAAACTTCATCAAGGCTTATTGTTCTGATTTCCTCATTGGATCAATTCATTTGGGCTGCTGTGTAGGTCCTGTTTTTTAATCTTATTCAATCTTTGTAAGCCTGTTTGTTTTTCACATAATAATAAAGATTTTACTTCAGAGGTCTCACTTTAGATGTCTCCTTCCTTTCAGTCTGGTCCAGTTCAGAGCTCCAGTGGTTGCAGCTGCAGGGCTCCAGCTTGGCTGAGGCGTCTGTGTGGTCAGCTGCTGTCTGAGCGACTGATGCAGCCCAGTGGTGTGCAGGCTGTTATCAGAGCAATTCTGGAGGGTGGCACAGGTGAGAAGTGTAATTGCAGCCAGCATGTACAGTATTTTGAAAAGAATTGGCACATCATGAAGAAGTGGAAATGTTGTGGTTGGTGTATCACCAGCTTGTGATCACTAATTCATCAATGAAATCTGAATCATATAAAATGCAGCCAGAAGATAATGTGAGCTCTAGAAACAAGTACAAAGTCCACAGACCAGTGGGTGATGCCAATTGTGCCAATATATGTCTGTGGTTCCAACCAAATAGACGCACTGTTTCTGTCCTGTTTCAGGGGGTGAGTCAGACTGGAGGAAATGTGATGCTGTGGCAAAGATCCTCATTGCCTGCCCTCAGCAGTCTGCCTCAGCTGACGCCTACTTCAGACACATCTGCCCTCAGGTCATCCCCTGTGTTTGTGGAGAGTACATCACAATGAAAGTCACCTGTGTTACACAACCTTAATCAGTATTTGATTGATCCTTACCTTTATCCTAACCATAAGCTAAAACTAACGCTGTCCTTATGGACTCCTTCTTGCTTTAACCAGTTTTCTTTATTCACTTTTCTGTCTAGTTTATATACTCTTTACATTTCTTGTTTAAATAAATCAGCTTGCTTGCTGTTTGTGTTGTTTTCCAGATCCTTGAACTCCTGCACTTCAAAGACAAGCTGACATCCCGTCAATTCCAGCTTGTGGCCACCAGGGCGGTGCTCTTTATGGTGCAAGAAAGATCTAGCTTTGCCGAAAAGTACCTTCTCAGCCCTCTGCTTGCTGCACTGCACCATTGCACCACTATCCCCAGTCAGTAACACAACCATCTTCATCTCTACGTCATAATATGACAATATATATATAAACATATTATATATATTAAAGTATTGATCATAATATATTAATAGTTATATATCTATTTATCTACTATCTGTAATATATAATATAATTATCTAATAAAGTATTTATCTTATATTGATTAATTCCCATTTTGACCTCGGGACTTATGATTACAGATTTTACACTATGCCGGCCACTTGGTTATGGCGTTCCATGTATGCCTTGCCTGCTAGCATCTTGCACATATCTATATCTATATATATCTATATCTATATCTATATATCTCTATATCTATATCTCTCTATATCTATATCTCTATATCTATATCTATATCTCTATATCTCTATATATATATATCTCTATATCTATATTAGATAATTCTATATGAGATATATATCTATAGATCTATATATTCTATTATGAATCTATTATAGATATATATCTATATAGATTATATCATAAGATAATATTCATAAGATATATATCTATATAATATCAATCTAATATCTCATAAAAAAAATCCCTATATTATAATTTTTTTTTTTTTTTTTTCTCCACT